ATGACGGCTTGGAACGCTGTCAAAGCTACCAGCTGTGTAGTTAAAAAATTAAGGTCTGTTCCCTTACACTTAGAATAATTTTCCCACAAAATTCCAGAAAACTAAAAAAAAATACAAACAATCTTTTCAGATTTATTTTTAAATTGATGCGAATTTGAATGCATTTCAAAGGAATGATAATAATTATACATATATAACTATAGGTACATTTATTAAAAACAAAAAAAAAATACAATTCTTCAAGAGACGACTGACCAATAGTTTGACATCATAAATATCGCTAGCTAGCAAGAGAAATTAAGGATTAATGTACTTGTTTTATTTTTTCTTATTTATATTCAATGAAAGGCAAATTTTCTAAGTCCAGAAGAGGCCCCGAAAATCCCGAATCCTTTTGATTCGTATGGAGTTTTGCTTTGCTTTAAACACGCAAAATGTTGTATTCAAAGTTCCTGTAAAATTTGTAAAAATGGACTTAGCAACTTTTCAGCCAGCGATATGTTAAATGTAAATATGGAAACATATAATCATTTTTATTAAACTTTGAATAACTTATATTATATATATTTTTTTTTTTTTAAATTTTTGTACATAAAAGTATGCAGCAGTTTGTTTGAAATGATTTAGAACGGGAACATACCTTTTTGTCAAAAGCCTACGAAACGCTTTCAAATAAAACATTTGCCTATTTGAAACTTTGAGGCGCTTAAAGCAAGTGAAGCAAAGCTGCCATTTGGCCAGCCTTCATACATTTTAGTATATTCCAAATAACTTTTGACAGTTCTCAAAGCGAGGCAAGCAAAGCAAGCCTGCATTGGGCCAATACCTTAACTCTGCTAAGACTTCCTCGTTAGCAGATCTTTCAATTAGTGTTTCGAAAGACAGTAAAGAGCTTGCAAGATGGTTGCCAGAATTGATAATCGTCTTACGAAAGACTAGGCCTGTTCAACCGGCAAAACACTCGCAAACGGCAGTCTTTGGCATTCACAATGGACAAGTCTGCCTCCGAGTGGAAGTGCGAGTCATTCGTACGTGCGAATGATCATGCTCCAATGGAACGAACCTTTGCGCGGCTAGTATGGGTGCAGAATAAAAGCTAGAACGCTCACAAACGCAATGAAAGGACCTGAACATACATATGTGCTCCGGATGAACAGCTGGCAAAACTTTGCAAATGAGACAGGCAATTAGCCAGTGAGTTTATGGGCGTTTGCACTGTCATTTATGTCCTCTAATGGGTAATTCCTGATACATTTTTGTTTATATATGTATGTGTGCATTTGTCACGTTAAACTTTGTAAACGTAGTTGTGCTTAATGATACGAAATTTGCACATACTTTCTCGGTCATCACAGCTGCTTAAGCGTCAGTTAAACAATGGTAAGCAGCTGCCAGAGTCGAAACAGCTATACATAATTTGCTTAACCAATTACATAGACAAACAATGTAGAGACATTGCATGAAAGCAAAAGGAAGTACAATGTAGAAAGCAGAAAATGTAAAAACTAATAAAAGCAATAAAAGTAGAGACGATAAAATAGAAAAATTATAGCTATGTAGAATTAATTAACGGTTGCAAATGATTACTTGAGCATGCACGATATGGGATTTCTACCATTGGCTTGCTTACGAAAGGAAGACGGAAGACTGCTTATTTACTGTTTCGTAATTAATTAGGTTGGGATTTTTCTTATGACCACGTGCGCAATTTCAAATGCAATAACCTGAAATATATATGTATGCACATATACATAAGTAGTTAATCTGAGGCAAACATTTGCTTAAATACATATACTAATACAAATACTAGACTTGCAATTAACTAAGTATTACATACTTCACTATATTCCATCAGTTGCAATAATATTAAATTCGATTTACTAGTTGCACATTACAATTCCAATACGCACGAGGCTTTCTCAATCGTATTCGTATTTGCCGTATTTCCCCCAGTCCCTGTCTTGAACTGACCAATGTGGCTGTTGGCGTTTCGAAATACCATTGCATAAGTGAGAATCGTTTGCTTTTACAAAGGAAATATTAACTATGTATGTAAATGGATTTATGAAATGCATAAGCACGAATTATTAACGAAATTGCAATTGCAGCTATATCTTACATTTATCAATCAGAAGCTGGAGTGAATAAAGCTCTCTGTGAGGTTATTCATGCCTGCATTTCAAAGGTGTATATACATACATATGAATGTTAATATGTATGTATGTAAGCGGTGGTATCGTCCTAAATACGTACAGAAGCAAGATATAGTATATGTATTTACAAATGTTGGCTTTCATCAACTGATGCAGTGAAAAGCCAAACCAGTTAGAAAAAATACTAGTGCATTAACTAGTATGTGCCTACACATACAATTCGAATTACTTAAGCGTTCAGCGACATCTACCTTTGAATTGCAGCAGTTAATTGCTTTTCTTACAAATTTCGGCTGTGGCGTCACGTGAAGACTACTGGTTCTGGTACTGAGATCGCAGGTTCGAGGCCGCTTGGAAGTGGTTAAGATTTTTAAAGTTATTATATCCTCCAATGTATGTAAGTAAAAATAATTATTTCAATTTAAAAATTAATAACAAATTTGAAAATCGAATTGCATTGCCGAAAAAAACTCACATATGGGAAGAAATGCTTATGCCATAAAAAAAGAATTAAAAAATAACAATTTATTAAATTTTAAAATTATAATAAAAATCCTAGGTAAAAGAATAAAATAAAATAAAATAAAACAAGTAAGAAAGTCTAAGTTCGGGTGGAGCCGAACATTGAATACCCGGCGCAAGTATTAAATATATGTTTTTTCTTCTTTCCGAAAGCATCCGCTAGATGGTAAGCCGGGGTTTATCAATTTTGAGTAAATTAGCGTCCTTAAATTTCGAAATATTGAAGTTACAAGCATTTCTGAAATTTACCGTTATATGAAAAGCGGCCGTAATTTTAGTCCGATATCAATAATTTTCAACATTTTGCTTACACGTGGCAAGTACAATAACCATACCGAGTTTGGTACAAATTGGTAGAACGGTTACCGATATACATATATGTGATCATAAGTGGGCGGTGCCACGCCCATTTTCCAAAATTTTACCATAAACGTATTTCTTGGTAAAGAATTGTTGCAAGCATCAATTTTGAATAAATTAGTTTTAATATTTACTGATTTATCGAAGATTTTGTATTTCTCTAAATTACCGTTATATGGGATGTGGGAGTGGTTATCGTCCAATTTTCAAAATTTTCGGCGATTTTGTATGCTGTACCAAGGCCAACAACTGTGCCAAGTTTGGAAGAAATTGGTGCAGCGGTTACGAAGATATACACATGTAACCATAAGTGGGCGTAGCTACGCCCATTTTCCAAAAATTTATAATATTCTTATTTGTCGTCTGAAAATTGTTGTAAATATCAAGTTTGAGTGAATAATCTTCAGTAGTTACTAAAATATCGCAGTTTTCGTATTACCGAAAATTACCGTTATATGGGATGTGGGCGTGGTTATTGTCCGATTTTTAAAATTTTCGGCCATTTAGTTTGCTGTATCAAGGCCAACAATTGTGCCAAGTTTGGAAAAAATTGGTGCAGCGGTTACCAAGATATACACATGTAATCATAAGTGGGCGTGGCTACGCCCATTTTCCAAAAATTTATAATAATCTTATTATATATATTATATAGGGCGACCATCCGCCTTTATTTTAACCCTCTGTCCTCTATAATTTTTTTCAAAATAAAGGACGCCTTTTGTAATTTATTTCTTAAACTGTCCTTTAAATCAGCACTGCATTTTTCATAAGTAAATTTTTAACCACGGAATATTAAAAATAAAAAAATGTCCCTTACAAAATATAATGAAAACCTTCGTCACTATATTTGGCCCCCACTTAAGGGTTTTCTATAAAGCGGGATCATGTTGCGCGCTCAGTTTCCAGTTCCACTGAAAGAAAACAATAAAACCCCGCTGCACAGTGGTTCAAAACTGGCATTTAGTGTTCGTAATTCACTGGAGCCTTCAATTTTCATTTAATTTAATAAATTTTTAATTCTTTTTTTTATGAAAGCTTACAATATTTGCAAGAGACCAGTTGAGCCTGATTTGTGAATATTTATTTGATTATATTAAATTTTTTAGTACAAAATGCAAAAAAAAGTTGAAATTTTGAAGAAAATGTATTCTCCTGTTCCAGTTAATAAATTTTATATAACAAAAAGTAGTTGAAAACAATTGCATGGTTCTAACAAAACGAAAAAAATACCCAAAAATAAATTTGAAATCTTATAAAAAGTGTTCACCAAAATAAATATTTTTTCGGTTTTTAGTAAAAATTAGTTAAAAATGAAGGCTCCGGTGAACTACTGCGTGCTGGCTTCGTCATGCAGTATGAATTATGGAAAACGCACTTTGGTAGCAAAGGATGGCGAAGTCCTTGAAAAGGATTTGGCTTAATTTTTCGCAACAGCAGGGAAACTTGTACAATTAAATAATATAATTAACTGGTAAATATTTGATTTATATTACGATATAGGTCAGGTACTTTTATCATACAAGTGGTATGTACATATTCCCAAATCATAAAAAAAAATGTCCTTTATTTTACTTTGGTTAATATGGTCACCGTAACCATAGATATATTATTTTTCATGTTGTTTACTTTTAGGTCGCACTGCTTTTCATTTAAAGAATTTTATAGATTTTATAGAAAATTTTGCGTATCGATTGATACAATCCAACTGCAGAATGGCCCTGTTAATCTCCTTTCAGCTATTCTTAAGGGTTTTTTTGTTTCAAATAATTAATTTTGCACAGAAATATTGATGATTCGACCTATTGTGCAATGTATTTATTTCATACATATTTTTGTGCTTATCTGTTAGATGTTGGAACCCGTATTTATATGTACTATATGCCAGAGTTATATATTATATATTTTTATTAAAATGCCAGCGCTGCATTATCAGCAAATGAATGAAAGTTTTATTGAAATCCCATAGCTGGTAAATCACTTAGTATCGCTTTGTGCACTCGGTTGTGTGAGTCGATAAATATTGTAAGTCCGTTGAAAACAATGCAAAATATGCATCTCAAAATGCATTTCTTTATATACTTCATTTTAATAATCGCTATCAAATCTAGTTTGAGTCAAAACAATGAGTTGGAAGATATTTGCGACTGCAATTGTGATCTAGGCATAAGTGTTATTGAACACTTAAACACCAAATTGGATTCACTGCAGGAAGTTGTGAAACAAATTCAGGCAGACAATATTCGTCTGCAAACTGAGCAAAAAAGGTAAAGAGTAGTATGATAATGCCAAAATTATCCGTTCTTAAGTTCCACAGTTTAATATGTAAATTTTGAAAATCTTCTTCTCCCTTGTATGATAGTCAACGCCTACCCACCAATTGCCTGGAGGCAGCCGCTGGCTCGTTTAAAAGTGGCGTTTATACAATTAAACATGAGCGATTTGCGAAAGATCCCTTCAGGGTATGGTGCGATGAGGATACCGACTTTGGCGGTTGGATTGTCATTCAGCGGCGTGTTAACGCAGATGTGGATTTCTACCGAGATTGGCAACAATATAAGCAAGAATTTGGTAATTTATCTGGCAATTATTGGATTGGTTTGGAAAAATTGCACGCTCTCACCGCAAGCTGTGAACAGGAGTTGTATATAAAATTGGAAACGTTCGCTGGCAAAGAATACTTTGCAAAATATGATTTGTTCGTCATTGGTAGCGAGGAGCAAGATTATGTTTTGCGAACCGTTGGTAATTTCAAAGGAAATGCTGGAGATTATTTCAAACTGCATGAAGGCCAAAAATTCTCAACGTTTGATCGAGACAATGATAAGCACCCTGAATATAATTGTGCCGAAAAATATAAAGGAGCTTGGTGGCACAGCAGTTGTTATTGGAGGTGAATTGAAGTGTATTTAGCATACCTTAATACTTATTTATTTAAAACTGTTTTTTTTTTCTCTCAGCAATTTGAATGGCGACTATTCTCAAAAAAATAACGGGCAAGGTGTAACTTGGAATGGCATAAAGAAGCTTGAATCACTGAAGTTCGCGCAAATGATGATACGCCCAATAGAAAAATGTATGAGGCGGCTATCAATAATAAATTCCTTACATTAGGTTGAAAAATTAGGGATGTGCGATAAATCAATTAATCGAATAAGCTGATTAATAGTCATCTGATTAAATAATTGATCAAAGAATAATCATTTTTGTTTAATAAAAGTGATTAATTACTCGATTAATTACATTTTAATTAATCAGAGTCTAGTTAATTTTATTAATAAGAAAACTGATTAATCATAGCCTGATGAATCAGAAACCTGAATAATTGCTGCTATATTTTTTATATACATACAATTTATACACGTACCAAATATATATTTTTTTTTCATTTCGATGAGCAACGTGCTCGTTTGGCATTAAATTTTGTAATAAGAAAAAAAATTGTACCCCATTATACAAAAACTTTTATTTTCTTTGAAAGATAACTCGAAACATATGAGCGAAGTAATTTAGATTTAAATTAATTTTTTATGAGTAATCAGTAATTACTCATGATCTGATTAATCACGTTTTTTGAATAATCAGGATTGTGATTAATCAAAAAATTATTCAATCGATTAATCGCACATCCCTAAGAAAAATCGTTCACAAAATAAAATAAGTTTAATAATCCTTTTTTTTTGAATACATGTACAATGTACATACATGAGTACATACAATAATTTGAGATATGTTTGGAAAAACTATGGGAAACCATGACACGGGTAATAGTGAAAATGAGCTAGTTGAAACATCATCCAACTTTGGGCAATTAACTATTTAAGCAATTATTAAGCAACTATTTGAGCAATTAACTTTAAGCCAAATGTATTTTAAAGTAGTTAAAATCAAATGCAGAGGCGGTTGATTGACTACTTCTTAGGACATCGCCATGTTAAAGTCAAAAGTTCGTTGCAAGAAAGAAAATCAGATCTTCAATTAGTTGTGCTGGAAAAAAACTGGTTGTACATCAATATTTAAACTAGTTTCTTTCCGTACTAGGCATGTATATGCATACATATACATACATAAGTACATACATATTTTGGAATTGAAGTCCCTTCGCGCTAGCATCTGCAATAAATAAAACAAAAGCAATAATAAAATTAAGGAAAACTCCAAAAGAAACTTCCGTAATAACAAGAAAGTTCGTACAAACGAAAATCGTCAATCGAGAATCGGCAATCAATTGTCGTCATAAACACGGCCGCACTGCAATGGACCAAGCTGAAGACGTTCGAACGTCTGGTCGTAGTACACACTTTCTTTTTTATTGCCAAACTATGCCATTATTGGTACATCGCCACTAAAAGCCGATCAGGTGGCACCTAAAAAGCCGCTTGTGTAAAATTTTCAAAATAAACAAATACCGGCTGTCTGCCACTCGGCGGCAGTGGGTGTGTAGAAAGGAATGTGCGAAAGTCGTAAATACCGATGCATGGCAAGAGCAAGAGAGCCACACTGCGAAACGTGAGCGAACCGCGGAGGAGGATGCGCTCACGAAAGCTTTAAATGGGAAGCTTGCAAATGCTTCCACCAGCACGCATGTCCTGACGACAGGACGAACAATTGTGCTCGCATGTGTGTGTATGTGTGTGTGTGTGCAGCAGCCACAGCAAAAGTGCATGTGTATAAATACGGTACATCAACAGCTTTCGATTTCAGTTCGTGTTGCTGTTTCGAACTGCTCGGTTGAAGGCGGAAAAATCGAAAAGTGCAAAGTGCAAAGTGTCAATGAGTCAAGTGTTAATTAAATAAAAAATAAAAAAAATAAAAGCAAAATTATTTGCAAATTAATACCAAGCAAAGAGGAAATGCATACACACAGCGACGTCTCGAAGCGTTGCTGATGGGGAAAAGTGAAATTGCTGTGCGTGTGCGGGGGAAAAGTCGGTGACAAGAAAATGTGTTTTACAATGTGAAAATTGAAAAGAAAAGGCATTCGTTTGCTTTGAAGTGATTGCGAATGTGTGAGTGACTGTGTGTGTGAAACATTTCAACGATTTCACTTCTTTTACAACTCGTTTTTGCTTTTTGGTTTTTTTTTCATTGTTCAAAGAGTTTCAAGGAAAAGTTGAATGCGTATTGCAGCAACAACAAGAATGCTAATATCGCTACAAAGACGATTATTGTACATAAATATGTGCATATGTATGTACATATATGGATATACATGTCTACAAACTGAGGCACATTCGAAGGAGTAAAGCGCAAAAGAAATCTACATAAAAATCAAATGTGAATTGCGCTTCGTAAACGTTTCAGTAGAAACAGATTTGCCTTCTGTTTCAAGAGTTTCCTTCCACTACGTCACTACGCATTTTATTTGTTTTTGTTTTCCTTTCGTGCATGGGAGTGTACGAAAAAGCGTACATACATAGTACATACATACAACAATATTTTTTTTTATGCATTAGAAAGTACACATGTGTGTGTGTATGTACATTAGGCATATGACGGTCTTCTAAAATTAAATATACCTATGTATGATAGGATAAGGAATGATAACAAACCAAAAAAAATAACGCTTCAATAACTTTCAAACTTGATTTTCCAAAATTTTAATTTTCACACATTCATATTTCTGGCATACGGGCGGCGATATATGTATGTATCAATGTGTGTAAATACGTATATGTTTCCATTCCATGCCAACCAAATCTTGACTGCGATTAAAAAGTGGTTTCAAAATTTTTTATTTTATCCGTTGACTTGGAATTATCCACATACACTACCCTGCAAAACTTTGGACTCACTTGGAAAAATCTTTTTGGTGTGTATGGGCGGGTTGCTGCCAAAAAACCATTGTTGCGACCGGTAAACGTTCGTAAACGACTCAAATTGGCAAAAGAACATAAAATAGGTCTATCGAAGAGTGGAAATAGGTTTTATGGACCGATAAGTCCAAATTTGAAATTTTTGGTAGCAAACGGCGAATGTATTGCCGCAGAAAATCTATTGAACGGCACGCACCTCAATGTGTAAAACCAGCAGTTAATTTTGGCGGTAGCAATGCGATGCTATAAAACGGTCTGATAACAATAATTAGAAGGATAAATACAAAAAAAAAAAACGATGTTTCGAGTGAGTCGAAACTTTTGGTCCCTATGTACATTAAAAAGAATTTAGAAACCATTTTCTTATCGCAGTTTTAATTCGGTTGGCATTGAATTTTCATATAAATATACATAGATAGGCCTGTACATACATATGAATGTTTTTTTTTAGCAAACAGTGCTGTCTCAGAGTGCCCTGCGGAATCTTTTTATCGATGAAAAAGTTATTTTTGTTGTTTTTTCATATTCCTCATTTAATTTTAGGAAAAAGTCATATGCCTAATGGTTGTACGTTTGGCTTATGTTGTTAATAATTCGTCGGAGAGTATATGAGTTTTTATTTTTGTTTTTACTTTGCTTGTTCATGTGCCTTAAATTTTACATATGTATAAAAGAATTTCAGCAATCAACACAAAAATCTTCTTAAACAAATGCGTTCAAATTTTAAAGCATATTTCTAGGCGCTGAACCATTCCTAGGTGTAGAAATATTTATGGGAAAATGCTGCTGGAGTTTTAAAGGGAGAGTAATAAGAAAAATCTAGCAATTTTTAAGCAAAAATCAAAACCGACTTTAATTGTCATATAAAAATTTAAGAGTACCGTTGATTTCTTCATGTTCTAATAATCGGATCTTAACCAAATTAGTATGGGACCACCCCTGAGGTAACACCCTACCTTTAGAAAGTTAATTTATGCGGTAACTTACATAAAAAAATATTCCGACAAAATGATAACCTCTTCCTTTTTGGATGTAGTTAATAATGAAAAAAACAGCAACACTGTTTCAACCTTTATAATAAAAATCATAATTTAACCGCTAAAATTAGATTTATATTTTTTTTAGATCAAGATTATCAGTTTTTTTTTTATTTTTCGATCAAAATGAATCGTTATTTTATGACTTTTATGACTTTTGTTTTTGCGGCATATTATAACTATTATTTTCACATGTAATTTTTTAGATCATAAAAGATTTAAAACAGGCATAAAAACCCAGTGTCCATTATAAAGGTGAAAAAGGTCGGCAAAAATAAAAATTCTAAAAACTGATTATTTTTGGTAAAAAAATAAAATAAAATAAAAATGACAAAATAACGATCAAATTCGATCAAAAACATAAAAATTAAAACTAAAGATAAGATAGAAATAATCAAAAAAAATATCTTGTTAACTAATAGTAATAAGCAGGGAACGGATTTTATGGAAATCGCCTTTTTTTCTGCTGAAATATTCGATTAAGAATGTCCACGATTTAGCTTTCCCTGATTCCATATATACACATTTGATGTTGCCTTTTTTAAGATATTTGTCTTTTTTTGCCTTTTTTAAGATATTTGCCTTTTCTACCTTTAAAAAAGTGATTATAGCATTTACATTTTTTATTAAGATTAAAAAATATACACATGCCCATGCGGCTTATAGAAGCGCAGGGCAGGGACCTCTTGCCAAATTGGTGTTGAAAAAATTCAAAGCCGTTTTCTCAGCTAACGTAGGCTTGGAGACAATAAGGGGTGTGGATAAAATTGTAAAGGGCGAGGAAAACGCCCTTATTCCTGATAATATGAACGTTTCAAACGTTCCATATTTAAATTGGGCGCCACTTGTATCAACTTACGTCGAGCGCACATTTAGTACATTCAAGGCTTTTCTTCGCGAAAATTGAATGAAAATGCTGCCAGAAAACTTCAAAATGCATCTTGTGGTTCAATGTTTCTACAACTATACAGATACAAGTTTTATGAGTTAGAAACTCGAGAGGATAAAATAGTCAAAGATTCAAAGTACAAATTTTTCATATAATGAAACTAGTTCATAGTTTTTCTCTTTTTACTTGTAATATAAACATTTCTAAAATAAATGTATTTTTTGATTGTTCTTCGTATTTTCTGTATTCGCTTCTTTTGCAATACCTAGTGCCTGTTCCTGCCTTTTTCGCTATTTTGTTTTGCCTTTTTTGCAATACCTCGGGCCTTTTCCTGCCTTTTTTGCTATTTTATTTTGCCTTTTCCAGCCTATTTCGTTATTTTATTTTGACTTTTTTATAGGTTTTTAGTTCCTAAAAATCCGTTCCCTGTTAATAAGCAAGCTAAAGAACAACAAACCTGCTGGCTTTAATAACGCTGTACTAGTTTCAAAAGGGTTCAAGTGCTGCAACACACTATATTCATTCGTTCGATATCTATCGACTAGAATTCAAACAAAAAGGTTTGAAAACTTGAAGCCTTTAAGCTTGCTTGACGAAAAAAAAATACATAATGTACATACAAAATGTACATAATATCCTCCAGTGCTCCTCTCTTGGGTATATATGCCTCGTGCTCCATCAGGAGATGTAATGATGTCTTCTTGGCGGAGTCACAAATTAACATATGTAGATCGTTTTACCTAGCTTATGAAACTGGCCTCTCAGCCTACAGTGGCCCATCAAAATATTTGCAATGGTTTAGGAGGTTTATGAGTAGTTTGTTTCATTTTTGATTGTATCCTGCTAGTAAGTTTTTAGCTTGACGGAGACCTCTGGTGTTACGTTAATGCAGTTCCCTTAGCTTTGAATTTTCCTTTGAGACCGACTGAAGGGAAGGGCTTACGACCTATCGTGGTCGATGCAGCCGCTATTCTGGCAAACTGATCGGCTTCCTGATTTCCATTGACTCCCATGTGCCTTGGCACCTAAAACAATTGGATGGCATTATTCTCAGCCAGGGCATTAAGCTTTTCTACACACTCTAGGACCACTGAGGATTTGACTTCGAAAGATGAGAGAGCCTTCAGTGCTACTGACTATCAATTAAAATTAGTATCCATTCATTTCGATAGCTCCTGCGAAGGTTAATCACTGCGCAGAGACTGATGGTATAGACTTTAGCTTGGAAGAAGCTGGGGCCATATACTCCTTCTTCGATACCCTCGGGAGTCTTAAAACCGTCTGTGTACTCCAGGTCGCCTTCCTGTATGCACTATCAACTTTTAAGTTTCTTTCGTAAACTACTACTCTATACCCATCATTCCTAATGGGAGCTGGTAACCTGCTTCTAATGGGAGCTTCTCCTTGTTCCTAGATGATATGATCCTACTTTAGCCAAAACTCTCTTTCGCGAAGTTTAGGAGAGTTCGCTTTGCAGCCTGTTCAACATATCAATTTATTGCTAAGACAGGCATTTTAAGTCTGTGACATTTTCATATTAACAACACTTTTGCTTTGAACTCAAATCGTTATTATTTCATTTTCTTTCATCTTAATTTTTCGTTTCTCTATCACACAAATTCGTTGCCTTTTATACGTCATAAATACCCTACAGGTGTGTGCGTATGTATGTTTGTGAATGGCTTTTAGTTTTTACCAGCATTTTAATAAATGCGAAAAAAGCTCTTTTTATGTATGTAAATATGTGCATTACAAGATCAACGATGCAAATGCAAAAATGTATTATTTTTTTTTTCAATTTAATTATTTCTCGAACTGTGATTTAACTATATTGATGGAAAACAGTGTTCCATGGTTTAAGTAAGGCACAGTGAAAAAATAATTTCCGCAAGTTAAAATTTGCAAAGTTTTGCAATTATAAAAACTTCAAAACTAAACAAAAAATAATGTTTCCAATATTGGCGCATGGAAATCTGCAACGCTTGCGGCATAAACCCATCTGGGTGCTGTTTCTGGTGATTTTCTTTGTTATTGTTTTGGATAAGACAGCAACAGCGACGACCGAGAATGAAGTAACAACAACGCCAGAACCAGGTGAGTTAAAAGATGCGTAATGAAGTACCGTACTTGTTTATGTATGTATGTACATATGTAGTTATGTGCTTTAGGAAAGTTGCAGTTAGCATTTGGCTTAACCCATATTCAGAATTTACATGGGCCATATGAGAATTATTACCTTCGCAAAAAGAGTATACTCAGTGGGTGTCGCTACTTGTATGTATCAAAATAGTTGACAAAGTTTCATTTATATATAATGAAATTTCATTGGGTAAAAAATATTTTTTGTACAGTGTAGTTACATTAGACGGCGCACTGTGCACTGTTCCCAGAAGGAGTATTCGAAATTTTTTTAAACGACGATTGGTTTATTTGTAGCAGTTACCCATTTAGGGCCGTTTTCTTAAGTAGCTTTTAAAACTTAGGAAACGTACCCGATAAAAACTTTTTTCAAATTTCAATCATTTGTTCTGTTTCCGTTAAATGAGATATAACGATATAACGAAAAGTGACGATACCGTCATCGTCAGCCATATTACTGATACGCTGACGATCGTCGACGATGACGATGACGATGACGATATTCAGCATAGGGCCGATTGATATGAAATAGTTCTTTCGATTTCTCGCGAGAAATCGCTTCTCGAGCAATTTAGGAAACAGGCATGAAGAAACAAATATTGTTGGTGTATATGTACATACTTTTATTCCGACACATTTTTGAGAGAATCGCCACCTATAAAAATTATTTAAAAAAAAAAAATGTATATATAGTATAAAGACTAGCTACAAAATATAGGTTGTTTATTTCTTTACTGAAATGGCCAGTTTGGTTGAAGTTGAAGTCCATGTTTTGGAACCTTGAGAAAATAATAAACGGTTTTTGTAAAATTTATTATTTTCGGTGATATTATTGGGGTATTCACAAGGGTGGCGTAAGTCTTATGTCGTATGTAAGGGGTCCGAAAGTTATTATACTTAATAGCCATATGGTAATTTTTCTCACTGCTAAAATATTTTTCGTTGTGGTTACAAGTTCCGTAAACCTATATTTAACGGTTAGCAATTTTACAACTTAAGACAATACGACACTCTGTGAATCTTCAATATTTCAATATTTTCCTCCTCCTTTATCCATTTTTGTTACACTTCAAATCATAACATTAAACCGAATTTTACGCGGGTGGAGCTGCGGGCAAAAGCTAGTGAAAAATAATTTTACGTTACCACCAATATTAAAATAAAACAGACAAGCCGAAACTGACTGCTCCAAATGCGACACGAACACAAACCAAAATTGCATTAAGTATGTGGGTATGAATGTAAGTAGAAATAAATGAACAATACCACTGTCAGGTACCACAACACGAAGCAGCGGGATGGCAGTGAATAAAGAATTGTAACAAACGCAATGAAGAAATGCACGCGGCAGAGGTGTAAATATATAATATTTTCTTTTTTTTTAATTATGCAAATAGAATTATTCACTTGAGGGCGCTGAATTGAATTTCACACAATTCATATCCAGGTAACGACGCACAAAGAGTCTCGCGTATAATAGATTCGTCAGCCTTCCTTACACAAGTTTTGAACCGCGCAAATTTTGGTGAATTATAATACAATTCTCATACAAAGAAGCATTTCAGCGGAATGCGTTACAAAATAACCAAAACAGAAAAACTAGGTCGTAATTTAACCTTGGCTGGCATGGTAACCTACTAACGTAGATTCGAATGCGACAAAGGAGTTCGGCTGTTAGACGTTGGCTGCCCTCAGATTTTTGCTCAACATTTTCATAAACACCCAGCCGTTTTGTGCACTTGTGTCACTGACTGACAAAATAAAGCGTTAATTGCTCAAAACTCAATTGATTTATTGACAGAATACGATATTAATAGTATTTATTTACATACTACCAAATAATAAAAAAAAAAACAACGATGGGTTTTAATACGATACATATTGTTTGTACAGACGTAGCAGCAGTAATATCGATCAAACTGTGGCTTTGAAGAGGATTTAGATAATAAATTAAATAAGTTAAATATCTAGTCTTATTCCAATGGCTTAGGGAAATACTTTTGATTGAAACCGCGTTCGGCGAGCTGCAGATTTAAGTGAAAATATTGACTAAAAAACCAGCTGACTGAAATAGGGCCTCAACTAAATTATACACAAACTTTAGTCTTATGGGTGGTGGCCACAATTTAAGGGTAATATTTTTTATTTAGAGCAAAGCGATTAAGATATTATATATAAACTAGTTTTTGCCCGCCGCTCCGCCGTTTCATTAAATATTTAAACGGGTGGCAGCGGTCTTCAAAATATTTTCGAAATAAACTTTACGTTTGACATCCATTTTCTTAAATTTAATAAGATTATTAAAGAGCTGCCACCCCCACTTTTATTAAGTTTTTTCAGATAAAAAGTGTTAAAACAACTTTTGACATCATTTTATGAAAATATTTGGAAAAGTGAGATTTGACTTGTAAACAGGTGTCAACCCATTTCTTCATGCTCTCTTACGCCTGTCTCTTGGTCACCCATACTGTTGTACTTCATTTAAATTATTAGTAATATTGAATTTGAATTTTTAAATAGGTAGCAACTCTCTTAAAAATGGTTTCTTATTTCAGCAAAACCCCAAAAAATTACATTTTGGTAGGTAAAGTGGAATTTTTAACACCGTTTTTTAGCCAAAAAAAAAAACAAAAATTATTAAAAATCATAACAATATTCTAGCGTCATGAAACTTGGACTTGTTTTCATATGTACATAAGTATATATTAGAGCGCTTTTTTGCGACTATTTTTTGTTTACTCTCACCTCGAAATTTTGTGGGAAAATTCCCGTGAAGTTTGAGTCCTTAATATTAATATTAAGTGCTAGGAGGCATTGGCCATCTGTTGTAGAGCTAAATTGTAGAAGTTGTGAACTCTTTTGTAGAGCATTCAATTTTGAAGAAACCCTATCATTGACCACGATTATACTATAAAATGCCTCTGAGCTGTAAAGTTTTCAAGAAAAAAATCAAAGTTTAAGTGTATTTTAAACGGGAAATCTTTGCACGCCTGTGATGAGAAGTTATAAATATTAAGCTCTCACCCCCAGGGATTTTTCTAAATGCTTCATGGGCTTTGAGACAGTTTAAAATTCATTTAAAAAATACGGGTAGTCTGTTTTGCTATTTAGAAAACTCCTAGGGGGAGAGCTCGACAATTTAAACCCCTCCCTCCACGCATGTATTTTTGGACCACCATAATGTACACACATGTACGCTTTTTTTTATGGAATTTTCATATGTGGTGCAGAACCACATCATAATCTTACTTGCATACATGCGTACTAAGAACTTCGAGATACCAAACCAAACAGCATTTGAGGCAGTACGCAGCCATTCAATTTGATACGAATACGTTGCATTTGGTGGTTTCCTAGAAAAGGAAATTGCATTGGTTCAAGGACATGCTTTTCTTCAAAGCTTGTCTATCAGTCTGATTGACAGGTGAGAACACCAACAAAGAAGCAGAAAAAATACGCGTTCGCCTCACAGCTTCACACGTGAATTGCATATTTTCCCGGATTCACATTCAAAAGGAGCCAATTGCAGTGGCACATAAAAGTCAACACTCCGCTTGGCCAACCTCCTATCACTCTTACGCCGCTCAGTCTGCATTTTATTGGATAAGCTAAGAGTAATTAAATAAACAGGGATGCCCATAGGGTGACTTATGCCGACTACTGTTAGAATTCAAGATATATTTCGAAGTTTTTTTCATCTTATAAAAATCTTGACCTCTCAATAATACTTTTGAGTTTCTCGAAGTTGACCTCTCAATAATACTTTTGAGTTTCTCAAGGATTTTTCAAGTTTAAGGGAAACCCGTTTAATAGTTTCGAAACTATATCCTAGCTTAATTGGGGATACACAGTATATTTGATTATAATAAATGACTGATTGGCGCTAAATGTTTTCTAAATGTTTGGTGAAGTTCTCCAATTGGTTTTCTTCTTATTGTCAGACTTTTATTCCACCTCCGAATCTACACTTTTACTTCACCTCCGAAAAGAAGATGTTTTTTTATGGCAGAAGTACACTCGGAGGTTTGCCGTTGTCTGCCGAGGGGCGTCCGTTATTTGAAAACAACTTTTTTTTGCTGTTGCTGGAACCGGAAATTGAACCATGGACCTCCCGAGTGCCAGTAGGAATCTCCAAACACTCGGATTCGGCGGCAAGAGCACTACTCAAATCCGAAAAAAGTCAGAAAAAATACAATCAAGTATTAAAAAAGTTAATCAAAGTGATTCTTATTTATTTTACTTTTGATCTAAAAAACTTTGAACTGATTTAGTTTTGCTCTTTTCTAAATAAAAGCCAGCTTTACTGTTACAGTATAGTTTTATTGTATTTTTTGGTCATGACTTCATACTAATATAGGCATTTCTACTGTAAGAAAGCTATGTCAAATAAAACCGGTTTATCCGGTTTTTTCTTAGTTTCGAAATCGGGAACCGTTTTTTTTTCAAATTGAAATTTTTCGTATAACTCGAAAACTGGTTTTGGAAAAAAGGCAGATAATCGAACACTTTAATGCTGACTGATCGATCATTTTCCCTTCCTAAATGCATGGAATTCATTTGCCTTGCAAACATTTTCTAACACGGGTTTTACACGGTTCAAGTATGGAATTCAATTCTGCTTGCAAGTGGAAAAGACGGTACATCTGTACCGTCAAGTCGCTTAAAGTTTCTTGCTTTGCTTTTGACATTTTCGTTGTATCCCATTTAAAGAACCAAATACTTAAATTCAACAGAATTCAAGCGTGTGAAATCAAATAGAAAACACAAAAGAGAATGACCAAGAATTGCTTTCAAGTACTTGAATCATGTAAATCGGGTGTAATATGAAACTGTTAAGCAAATTGCCTATGCCTGTCGTGACCAGCGCACTGTCGTGTAATGGAAAGCACCTCTAACCATTTGAATACCATAACCGCCTTTTAGTGGCTATTCTAGTGTCGGAGATACTACCTCTT